AGTAGAAATACGACTCGATGACTCAAAGGAAGACGAACATGTTTGAGTCATCGGTGTCTGGTCCGGTGGCGGAATTGTCGGTTCTGACACTGGTGGTGGTTTTGTAGCAAGATCGTGTCCACCCATACTTATATCAAAAGTTCTACAAAACAAGATGTCACTAGAATATTTTATAAAAATTATTTAAAAACCATAAGTACGTAGTGGAGACTCGAGAGCACTTATAATAACCGGGAAAAAATGGAGAGGGGAGTAATAATAATGTTTAATCAGTTCTATTTCTTTATTTAAAACATTCTTAGTGTATTAAAAAACAATTCATGCCATATCAGTAGTTTTTTTATCCTCTAATGAATATTACATTAGTCTTCGGATCAGTTTTGGGACGCTTCATAGTTTATGATTGTGGCTCAGTTTGGCATCAGCGTCAGAGATTAGCGTTAGCGTTTTTGAAAAAGTTATCCAAAACGCTAACGCTAATAAAAACGTTGTTACCAAACAAAGCCTATTTAGTGCAAAAAGATTAGCGTTGAGGTTTTTTCCATTTGATCGATCAAATTTGTAATTATTTATGTGAATTTTACTTCTTTTAATGAATATTAAGAAAAATTATTGCTCGATCCCTTTCTCCTACTATCAGTCACGGTGACATTGGTTAGTGGCACGCAAAATAAGAAACAAAAAATTCAGAATAAGTGCAAGTCATACAAATATCTCTTATTCATTGGAGACAAAATAGTTAGACATACAAGAAAAATAAAAAAAATTAAACAAACGAAGTATTACACTATTACTTATTCCAATTAAATATTTGGAGTATCTTATTCAAATGGATGGAGTAAAAAATATACTCATAATTTTTTTAATGATATTAACTTGATACAATAGAAAAATTGTCCATAATTTTTTAACATAATGACGCATAAATGGCCAATACTTCCATCATTATTGCAGTTTGAAAGTTTATCGAGTGGGGTTAAAGTGCACAGCACGGATGCCAAACAGGCCCAATATTTATAACTACTTTCAAAATTTTCTCTTTACTCCCAACCCTTACCAATTTCTTCTAACATTTTGTAGTTTCTTCCTAATCTTACTTGCTTTTACAAAAAAATTAACATGTTTTTTTTAAACTCTTTTCAGTTTCTCGCAATTAACATTGAATTCTTTTTTTCCAACCAAAAAACAGAGAGTCAATGCTTATAGTACTTTCAGAGACCATATACTAAGCAGAAATGGGTCACAGAACACTTATCAGTAATTAAATTCGAGTATTCTCTTTTTTAGAAGACAAACATGAATTGGCATGGATCCAACATTAAATTCTTTTTTTCCAACCAAAAAATACGGAGTCATTGTTTATCGTACTTGCAGAGACCATATAGTAAGCTTGGAATCCATTGTTTCTTTTACTTTTTTTTTAAAAAAAAAAAGAAATTAAATTCTCTTTCTTTTTTTTCACCAATGAATTGGCATGGATCCAACATGATTCGTGATGGAATGAGGTTACAGTGTACTGGACTGGCAATGGATGTTCTTCCCACGTGTGATTGTCAAAATCACTAGGCCCCTTCAACGCCCAGTGCATCTGTCACTCTTTTTTTTTTTTTTTATGTGATGAGTTGTGACGGACGGACAAGATGATGATCTGTACAAGACTACCGACACACAATTGTACAATCATTTGGATAAGCAGTCCAAAACATGCATGCATACTACGAGTACTACGTACGTACGTACTCCCCAATTGAACATTTGAAGAATTGCTAAGAGAGTTGGGGCTAGCCCAAAACAATTAGCCTTAGAGGCATGGGTATGCATTGCACCCCGCCCTTGCTAATCGGCCTCGCCGCACGAGGGTTTGGGGGCTGAGCCCTCTACTCGGCCCGAAGAGTATGGTAGGGGTGTAAATCAATGGCGGATACAGTATTTTAGCTAGATGGGGGCACCATTAGTCGGGGGTCGGGCCCGTCGGGGACAGCGCCCCGTGATTTTTTAATAGACAATATGAATTGACAGAAAAATACCGGAGTAATAAATTTTGTTTCAAACATTCCTGTTTTGACTTGGGAAGGATTTATTTTCGTGGTTTAACCTTCTAATTATATATTTATCATCGAAGAAAAAAGAGAGACAAATCATTTAAATGACTTATTATATCAATCCAAATTGAATTGAGTATATTGCAACGACTTAAGTTAGATATATTAGTCATTTTTTACAAAAAAAATGAAAGTGTTTTAGGAAAAAAAATGAAAGAGAAACTGTTTTAAGAAACAGAGGAAGTATGTAATAAAATAGAATTTACCAAAAAAATTAAATAAAAACTTTAAAACTAACTTAATTAGATGGGGTCTTATTATTTTTTGTTGGGGGCACATATACATAACTTTTTTTTAAAAAAATAATTTTAACTTAAAAAATAAATTTAGTAGGGGGCATTAGCCCCCAACTAATATTAAGTAGATCCGCCACTGGTGTAAACGGATATTAATCGGATCGGATGTGTCATTACCAAATTCGTATCCGTTTATTTGTGTCGGATATCGAATTCCGTTACGGATCTTGATGGATACTGAAAATCAAAACCGCATCCGCATCCGTCGGATATCGGATATATCCGTATCCGTTTCTAATTTTTAAAACCAAGTTAAAAAATACTTTAATTTTAAATTTGGTTAAAGCAAAACAATTATTAAATCAACTATAATTTGTTATGGGATAATTATTTTCTTTATTTTCATGATTAATGATATTTTATGATAACTTCATATGATAAAAAGATATACACATATTCTTATATGTCTGTACATATTTTTATGTGTCTATACATTTATTTTTTATTTAAAAATATCTTATATTTTGAAATATCAATAGAGAAACAAAATATAAACATAAAAAAATTAGGAAAAACTATATATAACGGATCAGATATTTGGATAAACGGTTATTTAAACAAATGCATATGCGGATCGGATTTTAAACGGATCGGATATACAATTACCAAATCCATATCCGTTTAGTAATCGGATATCCTTAATCGGATACGGATAATATCCGTTTAAAACAGAGGCAGATATTTTCTTTTTAAACAGATACAGATGCGGATGTACCCTTGCCTCAACCTCTTGATATGAATAAGACAACTTTTTTGTATATTAATCTACATGATAAAATAGGAAAAAATTAATATTTTAAATTATTTTTTAAATTTATGGATAAAATAGTTACATAGAATGTTTTCTTAATCTAACTTTATATAAGACCCCTCACCTTTTCCTTTATTACTCATTTTTTTCATTTTTATTTATTTCAAAATTTAAGTTTTTTTATTTTTCTAATTTTATAAAAAACTTGGAAGTCAAAAGAGTTTAGAGAAAAAGACTAAAATAGGAGTACAACATAAAAAAAAGTACAAAAAAAAGTTTTATGTCTTTATTCCAAAAATAAGAGTTAGAATGAAAATAAAATGTCAATCATGAAAGAAAAAATAGGTTTGATTACATTATATGATATGCCTGATATTTAAAAAATCGTGTAATATATAAAGTATATAATTATAAATTTATTATTTTATAATAAATACTGCATAGATAAATTGAGGTACAGCGTAACCACAATGACTTTTTAAAATTTAACATTTTGATATTTATGCTAACTTTATATTATAAATATTTTTTTACAAAAATAGTTCTTTTGTGTATAAAAAATAACAATATTTTTTTATCTTAAAGATATTCATTAAGATAACGTGATTATGATAATGATGATAATGATGATGATGATGATGATGATAATAATAATAATAATTTATAAAAACAAGAAATAGAATGAGAATAATATAAAAATACACTAAAATAATTTTTATAAAAGTTTTTTTTATAGGTTTTCCAATATTTTATGTTTTTCAAGTTTCTTCCAGTTCTTTCAGTTTCGTCCAGTTCTTCGAGTTTTCTTCCAACTTCTAGTATCTTTTTCCAGTCCTAAAGAATAGGCTCTAATATGATGCCTTTAGGGTGTGATGGAGTAAGCTTTACATGAATCATTTTACTTGCTAATAAATATGATGTGTTTGATAAGCAAATAAGATATGAGTTTTGATATCTGATCTCCATATATCAAAATTCTTTTTAGGTGTTTGGTGAAGCAAAAAAAGATATCAAATTCGATATCTTCAGATATCATAAATGTTTTAAATGGGGGGTTTTAATATCTCCCGAATTTGAGAGATATCAATATGGGAAATTAATATCTCTCTCAACCATTGATCATTCTCCCTTAGCGGCTACAATTGTCACCGCCAACCAGCCCTATTGTCGGTCACCCTCCGCTAATCACTAATTAATCATAGTTTTAAATCTTTTAAAAAAAAATCGTTTCAGGTTTCAAAACCCATATGTTATCATATCTACAAAATTCACCATATATATATATATATATATATATATATATATATCTGTGTGTGTGTGTGTGTATAATACTCCTTCCGTCCCAAAAAATCTTTCTCCTTTCTTTTTTCATCCGTCCCAAAAAACACTTTTCATTTCTAGTAAAAAGTCACTTTTACCCTTACTTTTTCATACCCTACGTATCACATATTACCTTTTTACTAATAATCTATCCATCAAATCATACTTTTACCATCACATCAAAGGACATTTTTGGAAATTCAATACCAAAATACACTCCCCTTAAATCCCTCTCCAAAACCAAAACTCCCATGTTTTCTGGGACGGAGGGAGTAGTATCTTCGGAATGCTAATGAAAAATGCTAAAGTTGTTGGTAAATAGACATATCACAACTTGTTTTGATGTAGTTTTTAATTGCGTATATGGATCAAATGGATGATTTGATCAAGTTGATCAAATAGATCAACTTGTTTTGATGTAGTTTTTAATAGACATATCACAACTAGTATCATGAAGATGATTTGGGACATATCTTTAAAGAAGGACATATTATGGATCAAATGGATCCACAACAAATATCTCAAGGGATGCAGTATTTGGGACTGTCAGATTCAAAGGGATTCCTGCTATTACTGGAAAAAACTCCTGCAAATTAAAGGGTGCTTCACCAATATGATTTGCAGTAGTGCCTACACACCTAAAGCAGGCTATATATGGCTTGTGGGGGATTTTCATAAGGTTCCCTGGAGTAACCTGGTATGGAACAAATTCTCCATCCCAAAACACAAATTCATTATCTGGTTAATGTATAGGGACAGATTGCAAACGAAGAAAAGAATAAGCAGATTCCTCCCTGTTGATCCTCAATGCCATCTTTGCAACCAGGAGGAAGAAGATAGTCATCATCTCTTCTGTAGATGTTCTTTTACCAAAGAGACTTATCAACTGATCTCTACATGGGCTCAATTTGACTTCCAGGCCAAGTCCATTGAAGAGGTTACCCAACGAATTACCAACATCTCCCCAGCTAAAAGAAGATTGAAGATAGCTGCCATCTTTGCAGCTTGTGTATACAACATTTGGAAAGCTAGAAATGAAGTTCTTCACAAGAACCTCCCTACTACACCTGGAGCAGTCAGCCAAAGAATTCACACTCATATGACCATCTTTCTCAACTCTAAAGGAATCATTATGGAATAGCCCTATATTTTATAACCTAACTAGTTTATAATTATTAGTAGGGTTGTGTTTTGTTTCTAAACATGATGATGTACGTATATTTTCCTTGAGGAGTGAAATATATCTTGCTTTCGGTTCAAAAAAGTTTTTAATTGCGTATAGCAACTTGAAAAAATTTAGGATCAATCTTTTTGTTAGTTCAATTCAAGAGCTTATATATCGATTATTTTACTCTTGAACTTTCGAAGTAGGAGATGACACTCTAACACAACTTGTACTTTTATATCTATTTCAATGCAAAAATCAAATTGTTTTAAAACAAATAAGATTTTGCAAGTTATTTTAAAAAAAGAAAATTCATTGGGGATGACGGGAGCACAAGAAAAAAAAAGTTAAATTTTCATTCGTATTTATTAAAATGGCCAAATAGCTCTGATAACCCCTATGAGATAGGGAATCGCATCGGCACTATTACCCACTCTCTTTTGAGGACTTATTTATAAAATCTATCTAGTTTTAAAATGTCGCACACATACCTCCTATGATTATTTTGCTTTCAGTTTTTGGTAAAGAAGAGAGCTTTAGTGCCTATTTTTCAAACCTCATGGGGACTAGAGCCTATTTTCATTTTTTTGTTAAAATTTGTTTCTCTTTTCTTTTTTTCTTTTTTCCCCTCTTTGGATTTCCTCTTTTTCCGGCATAAAAATAATATTTTGGGAAATTCAGAAAAATGACGAATAAAATATTGAAATAAAACTTATGTAAAAAAATAGAAAAGGGGAATTAAAAAACAAAAAGTACAAAAAAAAAATTTTAGGAAAAAAAATAGTTTTATTAAAAATAGAAAATGTAGCCACGGCGTTCTCTAATAAGGTTCTTTTTGGATGCCCTAAAATTTAAGTTTTTTAGCTTAAGATCTCGCTTGTACAAATATAGACTTTAAATTAAGAAAGAATTATATGGACGCGTCTTTTACTTAAAAAAGAGGTGTTTTTTCACTTAAAAATTTAAAAATTTGAAATTGTTTAATAGTTTTAGTGCCCTCCCGTGGTTTGGAAAAAGGTACCAATCCCCCATTGTAGTTGCAAAAACGCACCTATAGCGTAAATCTTAAGTGCCTAGGTGTAGTTATCTTTTGAGGAAAATCTACTACTCCCTCTGGTCCTAATAACGTGGGAGTTATTGATTTTTAAAAGATTTAAAGAAAGTGTATTTTAATATTAAATTTTCAAAAGATCCTTTGATATGATGAGTAAAAGTATGATTTGATGGGTAGATTATTAATAAAAATGTAAGAGTGATAGGTAAGGTATAAAAAAATAAGAAGTAAAAGTAACTTTTTTAAAAATAAAAAGTGTTTTTTTGGGACAGATGAAAAAGAAAAGAAAAAGGTTTTCAGGCACGGATGGAGTACGTTTTACTTGGTAAATTTTTCTTTTGGAAGAAGAGAGTATTTGTCCCTAGCTATGCAATGGAAGTACTTATAACATACATCCGGATTTATGATGTTTTGCATGATCTACTTCAATACTCATTTTCGAATAAGTAAGTATTCATCTTCAAGTAATAGAATACTCGTTTAGGAGAATAAATGAATTTTTGAAAAATAAGTATTGAGTTATTCAAAAATGAGGATTTAATTACTCGTAAATGAGTACTCAACACGAATATACAGTCAATATAACTTTAGATCGAGAGGGGGAAGGTGTTGCAGTTTGCAAATGCAAAGTCTTATTGAAAAAACCAGATCGAGCTTTGTAATTTCTTGCAAAAATCATACGGAGTATATATAATTTATAGCTTATAATGAGTAAACGATTGATAACCAGAGGTAGGCGGGCGGCTTGGCTTCCGGCGGGCGGGGAAGAGAGAAGTCCTACATTTGGCATGGTTTCCCACAGCTTTCTTGGACTTCAATGCTCCTTAAAATCATATCATCAGAGATCTCACAGATGGGATCAGATCAGAAGATCAGAAGAAGAAAAAAACACATCCGCACTTCAAATCTCATCAGATCGAAGAGACAACAATCAATATATATATATATATATATATATCCAGGTTATGAAGTTCAAGAAAGCTGTGGAAAAGCATGACAGGACTTTAAAAGAACAAGTATAACTGGCTGGCTGCTCCCAATGCTAATTAACCACTCCACCACTCTTGGATCTCACATATTTCGAGAAGAGGAGAAAAAAACTTTGGGATATATAAAGAATGGGGGAAAAGGGTGGGAGTGGGGGGGGGGGGAGTGTATAAGGGTAGAGAGAGAGGCCCATATACAAAAAAAGAGCAAATAATTCAAGAAAAAAAGAGGATGTAATTAGACTTTAATCGCAAATTGGTGGCAAAGAGTGGAGCATGCATTGAATACTTGCAGACGTCTTATACTTAATATAGTTGTCTCCCAGCACGATTGTCAGAGATCGAGCTTGGGTCTATCTCATTGACATTCTTTGTCTTTGCCAACTGTACAACGCTTACCGGTGGCGGAGTGAATAATTGAAGGACCACACTAGGCATACACAAGCTGTGAGTGAATCATCAGCTTTAATTATGATTATTATTATTATACGTAGAAATTGAAGGGAGAGGAGAAGAAGGGTGGGTTCATTGTGCTTTATTTTCTAGTGCGCTTGTGGGTACTTGTACTCTCCTTTGGTCCCTACTCTAAGGGTTAAATTAGTTGAACTTTTTATTTTTATTTACCACACCTTTGATCGAATAAGTTAATTAGATTGCTTTAAAAAAAGTTAATTAGATTGTTTAAAAATACTTTAGTTTATCATTTGTCTTACAAATATATTTATGTTTTTTTGAAGACAAATAACTCTATTATAATATAGTATCTGTTCATATATATATATTCTCAATCCATTAAGCACGTTAAATTATTACTCTCACTGGAGATCGAACCTGTGACCTCCTATATGAAATTATCATCATCGTGCCATTGGACCACAAAGTCTTTGACATATTTATGTTTTTTTTGTTTCTAAGGTATAAGTTTTGGATCTCGGATCTTTAACGATGAGGAGAGGATAATTTTTGAATTGAGGGGGTAAAATATAAGGAATGATTATTTACAACTCCTCAAACTTCATAATGACTAAATTCCCAAAATAGTTTTTTGTAATAAAGTATTTTTCTAATTGATTCCTCAATAAGTTCTAATTACCTACGTCGTCCTTTATAATCGAGATTTATTTTTCAAATAGTCTTTCGTAAATAATATTACTCAAATGGTGATTAATTAAAGAGTATTTTTGGTATTTCTATCATCTAAATTTAAAGTATATTCTCCAAATGATAATTTCCATGCAATTAAATGTAAAATTAAAAAAAATACATTTAATATACATAATCCATGAATTATTAAAAACCTATAAAAAAAGTCTTTCAAAATTTGAATAAAATACACATCTTTGAAGACTAATCTGGGAAAATACCTTATTAGAGATGACTATTTTAGGTATTTACTCCTTCATAATTTACAAAATAGCTTAATACTTACTACTGGGCTAGAACATTACACGAATCGTAAAGTCCTAATTGGTCCATTCTCGGTTAGTGGTTCGGCTACCAAAAAGGGGTTAATCCTCAACCCTATGGCTCAGCGTTTGATTCAAGTGCACGCTCGTGGTCCGACTAATAGGCTCATCCGCTAGGACTTCGTCCTAGCTAACTTTGAATACACATTAAAGTACTCGTAAATATGAAAATATTCCTACACTTCATCTCATCAAAAATATCAATTTATTTTTGTTTATAAATCTCAATTCAGGGAATGGTGTGTTACAGTACATTTTAATTAAAAATTTTAATTTAACAAATAGATGCACTTTCCTAAATAGGCCGTAAATAAAAAAACAAATACTACCACCGTCCCGGAGTATTTGTCCACTTTTAACTTTTTTCAGTTAATCATTTTCAATCTTTGATATATAATTAAATAAAATATATATTGTATATTAATTAGATAAAATAATATTTTGAAAAATATTTTATATAATAAATCTAATGTAACTATTTTTGTATCAATATCTATAATTATTTTTATTTAATTTAAAATCAAAATTTATCAATTTGAACCGAAAAGTCAAAAATAGGATGGAAAGAGTAGGGGTGGACACGGTACGGTTCCGGTTCCGGAACCTCCGGTTCCGTTACCGCCACCCCATGTCATCGGAACCGTCACCGTGCCGGCCGGTACCGGTTCCGGTTCCCGGACCGGCCGGTTTCGCCCCCCCCCTATTTTTTTTTTTGCTTTTTTTAAAATTTTTAAGTATAAAATTTTAAATTTGCAATTGTTTAAGGAAAGAATAAAGTACCGGAATGTAGTTGTTATCTAAAAATGTAGTTGTTATTTAAATATTTTAAATGAATAATACACTAACTGAAGAACAACCACATTTAATATCCTGACGGTTCAAAAAAAGCGACGAGGTAAAGAACCGTAAAGAAACCCTCGAAGGAGCTTATATATCGCTCAGCTAAAAAAACTAATTACATATTTACATTAACAAAAAAAATTATAACTTATTTTTCAGAACTCGGACTTCCATCTGTTGTTGCATTCATGTAATGCTCCAATTCGAGTTGGTACGTTGACTCTTGAGCTCGACGTCTTGCCAAGAGCCAATCTTGGTTGCAAACAAGTGTTTCAAGAGATTCAGCGCTAAGACAACTTCGAAAGTCGGTTAGAATGTTGCCGCTAGCACTGAATTCTCGTTTAACTGCTACGGTTGATACCGGAACGGATAACACTTGTCTTGCTAGCATGTCGAGACATGGGAACATGTGTTCGTTCCGCTTCCACCATCCGAGCACGTCAAAATCCACTTCGTCTTCATCGTAATCGCATGGCACACCCTGGTACATAGCAAGTTCGTTGTGCGAGCTTACTATTGTACCACTTGAACTCGTCGAAGAATGAGCACGCTTCCCTTTCTTTGCAAGAAGCCCACCGACTATTCCGGCAAAACCTTTTTTTGATTTCGGGGGCGGAGGTGGTGCTGTTTCTTCTTGTACAGTGCCGTATAACCCTTGATATTCTCAAACAAATTCTCAAAAAAAGTTACAGCATTATCTCTTTCTTTTTTCCATTCTACTAAATAAGAGTAGTAATAACTATTTTCATCTAAAAAACACTTGTAGTAATAATCAATTAAAATTTTATAATTTTCAATTTTAAAGCGTGGATCACAAATAATACCTATTTTATAAATATCAGGAATGTACAAATAATAAGAACACCATTTTTGTATCATAGGAGAGACATATGGGTACAAATCTGGATCAGCCTTACTTTCACGAAAACATGTTGCGATTGTAACGCACTCTTTTAAAAATGTATTTGTAGTTGGTTGGTAAACATGAGAAAAA